GGCAAGATCGTCGCTCCAGTCAATCAATCGATCAGTCAATCACTTACGCATTCTGTCTTAAACGCGCTTAGTCTCTCGCTGTTATTTGTTAGTTCGTTGTAATATAGTATAGTTGTTATTAAATCGTAAAAGTGTTTATTACTTCTATATATTACACCTCGCTACATAGTTAAAAATATAATATTAACTAAAAAGATCTAAGTAAATAAACTGATTCCCAACAGTTAATAAAATGTTAATAGGTGCACAAGATAAGAATTTATTAGAACTGTGAGGAGTATAAAATAAATCTTTATTTCTTACATTAAAACAATTAATTTTAAAAGATATGCTGTTTAACAAATAAAATCATCTACTTTAATATTTAGAAGTTTAAAAAGAAATGAAAAATAAAATTGAATTCTTCTATTTTTATTGTTTATTATTATTTTAATGTACTTATATTCAACATATTTAAAATATTAGTATAACCAGAGGGGGGTCTGTATATATTTCATTTAAAACAAATTAATCCAAGAACTTTATTCTGAATTTTTTCAATATAATTATGGTGGCCTGTATTGTAAGTTTTCCAAATTATTGTTGCATACTCAAGTTGAAGACCAATAAAAAAAGTGTAAAAAACTTTTAATGCCATTGGATTATTGAAATTTGTACAACTACGCTTAATAAGACCGAACATAGAAAATGCTTTTTTATATATAAATAATACATGGAGGTTAAACAAGAGTTTAGGGTCGAAAATAATGCCCAAATATTTTACTTGAGAAAAACGAAATAAATTTTGATCATTAATAGAATAATTAAGGTGAAACAAATTATGTTTTTTAATAAAAAAAATGCAAGTGCATTTATTGATATTAAAGACATCCCATTGTATATTCACCAGCTATAAAAACTATCAATGTCTTTTTGTAAAAGAATAGAATCATTAAAATAACTAGTAGATTTAAAAATTTTAGCTTCATATGCCAATAAAAAAATATTAGAAAATTTATTTGTAAAAACAATATCATTAATAAAAGAAACCCAGCACAGTGGAGTGGCGGCACAGTGGAGTCGTGGCATAGTTGGGTCCAATATAGATGATATCTGGCAGTGATTAAAATCACTATCATAAAAAACGCTTCGATGCAAATCTATAGATAGTGTTTAATTAAAAAAAAAAAATTTGTCAAAAAAGTATGTCAAATGAGAGCTGAGAAAATAAATGATAGCTACAAAAAAAACCACATAGTAAAATAATATTAATATGAATTTCTTCTCTCGAGAGGAGGCTACAGTAATGGAATCCTTGATATTTATTGAAGTTATTAAATCTAAATGAGATAAAAAATCAAATGAGTTAAACATTTTAACCCAAAAAAAATTTAAAAAAAACCTGGCACAGGGGGATCACGGCAAAGTGGTGACGTGGCATAGATGGATCAAGTATAATGATATCTGACAGTGATTAAAATCACTATCAAAAAAAAACGCTTCGATGCAAATCTTTAGATAGTGTTTAATTTTAAAAAAATTGGTGTTTTATTCCAAAAGCTACTTGATCTACTAGTTCCTTATTAATATCTCGATTAAGATAAAGTATGTCGAATGAAAAAGGGTATATTAAAAAATATTATTTCTCATAAAAAAATTGTGTGGATCCATAAACTTTTCAATAAGTTATAGCATTATAAAGTTAAAAATGTAAAAAATAAAATCGAGAATTTTCACATAATAATAGCATTTGGTAGCCATTTTCACCGTGAAGATAAAATAAAGTCCGAAATTTTTTTTTCGCATAATAAAGTAGATTACATTAACTTTAATTTAAGATATAAATAAAAGTGTCAGACTTTCCGGAACAGTTTCAAAATTTAAGTTGAAAAAGTAAATTTTTTGTGAAAAAGTTGTCATTTTAAATCCCCCCCTGTGTGAAGGTAAAAGGTCAGATATAAAAAAAATATATACCAAATGATAGGTAAAGACATCATGCATCTATAAAAAAAAAAAGTTATATTGATCCATATATATTTCAAAAAGTTATAGCATTATAAAGTTAAAAATATAAAAAAGAATTTTTTTACAAAAATCGTATTTTTTTATAAACTTTGATGTCTGTTTTCACCATGAAGATAAAATAAAGTCCGAAATTTTTTTTTTCTATAACAAAGTGTATTACATTAGCTTTAATTTAAGATATATAAAAGTGTCAGACCTTCCGGAACATTTTCAAAAGTTAAGTTGAAAAAGTTAATTTTTGTTGAAAAAATTGTCATTTTAAATCCCCCCTTGTGGGCAGGTTAAGGGTTAAATATATGAAAAAAATATACCAAATGAAAAGTAATGATATTATGCATCTATTTAAAAAAGAATTATATTGATATGTTTATTTTTGAAAAAGTTATGGCAGTTTTAAGTAAAAAAAATTGAAAAAATTTCGAAAATTAACGATTTTTAAATTCGTAATTTTTTTGGAGGTTTCCCTCATTTACGGGGAACGAGGGAATTTTTTTCAATTTTTGAGGGTAATATCTTCGACTAGATACATTTTATCCAAAAAAATTACAAATTTGAAAATCAATAAATTTTGTAATTTTTTTCAACTTTTTTTACTTAAAACTGCCATCATTTTTTCAAAAATGAACAAATCAATATATATTTTTTTATAGATGATTGATGTCTTTACCTACTATTTGGTATATTTTTTTTATAAATTTAACCCTTTACCAGCCCACAGAGAGGGATTCAAAATGACAACTTTTTCACAAAAAATTAACTTTTGAAAGTGTTCCAGAAATACTGACACTTTTATGTATAACTTAAATTAAAGAAAATGTAATATACTTATATTATGAAAAAAAAAAAAATTTCAGACTTTATTTTGTCTTCATAGTGAAAATGGCTACCGTATGCTATTTTTGTGTTAAGATTATCGATTTTATATTTTACATTTTTTATTTTAAAATTTTATAACTTTTTGAAAAATGTATGGATCAATACAATTTTTTTATAAGAAATAATATTTATATACTTCTTTCATTCGACATGCTTTTTTTTTAAATCGGACCTTTTTCCTTAATACGGGGTTGGGTTGGGTTCAAATTTTAAAGTTATTTTTCTCGACTTCAAAGAAACAAAAAAATTTAAAAATGATTAATTTTTTATACTATGTCCTTTAGATTGATATAATATTTATGGAAATCAGTGTAGTCCCCTTATAATAAAATAAAATACAAAACCAAGAATTTTAACACAATAATAGCATATTTTTAAATACGGTAGCTATTTTCACCATGAAAACAAAATAAAGTCCGAATTTTTTTTTTTAATATTAAAGTATATTACATAAGTTTTAATTTAAGATATATATAAAAAATTAATCATTTTTAAATTTTTTTGTTTCTTTGATGTCGATAAAAATAACTTTAAAATTTGAACTAGCTAAATTTCCATTTTTATTAAGTGACGAATAAGACGTACGGTTTTTGAGAAGATAACACTTGGGTCTTTCACGACTGTGACACTTAATTTTTAGCTTCGATGCGAAGCTGAGAAGGTATTGGTTTTACTAAGATGTGTTTTTTTTTTTTTTGTCTGTTACCACTTTTTCTCAGCTCTCGCCGAATCGAATTCTTTCAATGATACGTCAAAAGATCACAAAATATTTCCCCTATTTGCGGGGAACGAGGAAAAATTTTTCGATTTTTAAGGGTAATGTCATCAACTAAATATAATTTTTGATCTTTTGACGTATTGTTGAAAGAAATCGGTCCAGTGAGAACTGAGAAAATGTGGTAACAGTCATAAAAAAAACACATTATGGTAAAATTAATACCTTCTCAGCTTCTCATCGAAGCTAAAATTGTATCATTAAGATTAATATGCATTCAGCAAATTTTATATTACTATTTATATTAAATGTATCAGAGGCTCAATATGTTTTTTCATAATAGATAACTTAAATAGAAATAATAGTAATCATATCCTAGTATTTTAAAATAAAATAAAAATACAAACCACAGAAATTAACATAAAAATAGTCAATTTTTTATGGTTATCACTTTTACGTTCACATCAAAGTTAATAAAAAATTACGATTTTTGTAAAATAATTTTTTTTTATATTTTTAACTTAATAAAATGCTATAACTTTTCGGAAAATGTATGGATCACTAAATTTTTTTTTTATAGATGCTTGATGTTTTTATCTATCATTTGGCTTATATTTTTTAAGCCACGTATATTTTGTTAAAAAATATTTAAATTGTTATTATGTAATTTTAGGTATCCAAAATTAACATTTACGGGTTTGTTCATTTTATTTATAAAGTTATTGAATTCTAAAAAGAACATATCAAAAGAAGACGTAGTAGCATGACAATTGCGATAGCATGAGATCAATAACTTATCAGTCGACGATTGGTTAACACAGCATCCAGGTAGTAAGATAGCATCATCAACAGATGACTGAATAATTGACGAAAGAAGAAAATAATTATAATACAAACGATGGAGACAACAATTTAGTTTTTTGGTTAGACCAGTGAGGTACTACCAACACGAGCTGACCTAGAAGCTAGTACAATAGAAGGAAAGCCATCTTTATACTTAATCATGATGTTAGTCTCACCATTATTTTTACGACTATCAAATTCATTGTATATCCGACGAATAGATTCACGTTCTCTAGATGTTCGATCACGAGTAACAGCTATTGTGTTCATTGAATTATTTGCGAGATGACTGTGCTTATTTAAGTAGAAGTCGGATATTAATTTAATTGCTAGTTCTTTAGATGATAAAAATACCTTAAGTGGACGAGCACCCTATCGTCAGGCCTGCCAAGTCTAATTGATTTTAAACTCGAGGAGTTTGCTGGAAGAAAGAGCTGAAGAATTACAGACAGACGCATAGTCACTCGATATCCTATCAGATGATGAGCTAGAGGAAGATTCAGGTATTCCTCTAACAATAACATTACGAGAACATTTTTCCCCCGAGATTTCTTGCAGTATTACTTGGACACTATCAGCATTAGAATGAGGACTACTTTTGTCCGTTTCAATGGCATTTACACGTTTTGTCAGGTCAGCAACATTATTTTTGAAAACAGTATTCTCTGATTTGAGGTCAGCAACTTGTAAAGTTACGACCTCTAAGGCAGCCTTTTTTTTTTTTTTTTCTCCGATCAGCTTGGTTGTGGACCGCCCTGGAACTACCGTTAGGTATTACTTCAGGGCGGCCCACGCCGTCTTTAAAACTCACACCACCACGTTGTGAATCAGCCCAAAATTAATCAAGAGCTGATTCACAACGTGGCACAGTGTTCCAGAAAGTTGATTTAGGGGGACAAAATTATTTAAGTATAAAATTATTTTGTATACAACTTATTTTGATACTTACTTCAATATTAGGTTCAGATTTTACATTGTACATTCATAAAATCAAATAAAATCAAAAAAAAATTTAATCAATTTAAAAAAAAAAAAATTGATTTCCGAATATATGAATTATTTAATAAATTTAATTTTAAAAATTAAAAATATTACTATTTAAATTTCGTAAATGTTTCAAACTGTAAAAATATATACATAAATATGATATAATTAACATGTGAAAAGTTCACTCTATAGATCTGTATCACTGGAACTGACACTATCCTCTTCTAATCCATCTTCTCCATCATTTTCATCATCATCGTCAGATGGTTCGTAATTTTCTTCTTCTATTTCAGTATCTGGTAAAATTAGTAATGACATTACATCGTCTGTTAGCTCACGTATTGGTTTTTTTGGTAATTTTCTTATAGAAGATAAATATGGGTCAGAGGCTACTAATAGCATATGTATTAGGTCTTCATTTGTATTATAACGTGTATTTTTGCGAGTATGGTGTTCTCTGAACTTTTTGTATTCTTTATTGTTCGCTTCTGCTGCTTCTTCAGATAACTGTCCTTTATATAAAAAATAAAATTGTTTGTATTATAATCTTTTAAAATAACTAAAGATTTTATACTTTACCTATAGGGAGGAGTGCTGCATTTATTACATCAGCTCCGTGTATAAGAATTTTATGTACACTACTAGGCATGTTGTACCAAGGATAAAGAGAAATAAATAATTTTGCTGTATCTGCAGTATACATTTTAAATTCTGGTACATTGACTTCGTGACCACTTGACATAGCAAATAAGATATTTCCGAATCGTTGAATTAGATTTTTATCAACACCCGTAATATTTGCACTTTTATCACAATTTTTAAAAAACCGACGAGCAGTGTTTCCGTCATTTGACGTTCCCTTACCTGTATTTAAAATATAAAGAGTCATTTTTTAAGATCATTATTATAAAATTATTATACAAATCTATCGGTAGGTTACCTTCCAAAACAACATCAATTAATAGCCCGGTTTCAGTTCGAAATCTGTTTTGTATCATACTTTTTCTTTCAGAAAACTTAACTTTATTTTCGACCGATCTCACCTGCAAATCATTTTATTATTATTATTATTATTATTATTATTTACATTTTATCATCAGTATTATTATTTTTTTATTTATCTCCGTACCTGCCATGTTTTAAATTCTAATCTGTATGCAATATGTAATATACATTCTAAAAATCGAATGTATGCATGTAGGGTAGATAGTCCAAAAGAAAATGTTTCTGGGTCAACGGAAAATTTATCCATGTTTTCAAGTCTATTCATATGTATGGGAGTACAGCCACATATGAAACATGTTTGGCTTGATGTTTTTGTTACAGAATTTGCTACCTAAAATTGTAATTATGATAAATATGAGCTGGTATTTTAAATAAAAGTTATTTAAAAAAATTTACTTTTCCATCAATCATTGAAAAAATCATTGTATGTTTAATTTTGATTTCTTGTGTACCATGCATGTAAATAGTGGGATGTAAATTAAGAATTTCAGATTTTACTGCTTCTACTTCTTCTTGTGTACTTATAACGGATTCTTTTTTGAATTCAAACTTAATCGGCCGACAAAACCTTGTAGAAGAATATCTTGGATTTTTCCATATAATATGTTTATCTCCACATTCATCCGTAAACCGTAATTGTAATGGCACCATTGAAAACATGAATAGATCATAATCAGTTGTAGTTGATGATTCACTAAATTTTTGTTTATATTGCGAATGGCCACTACTACCATCACAACCCCATTTACATATAAGTTCAATATTATCAAAGATATTTACGGGAATATTTATGTTAGAAATTTTTAAGATTCGAATTACTGTGTGATCTAATAAGTCCTGCAAAGGCACTTCACATGATGTTTCAGTAATGTGGATATTTTTTGGATAGCAATTTTTTTTTGCATTTAATACGTGGTCATACGGTGCAAAAATATTCGCTTTTTTTTCTTTTGCCGCTAATCGAATATTTTTATATTGTTTTACACTCATTTTGTTGTCGATTAAAATGGCCAAACTTTCTTCTGCTGTATATTTTTCGATTTTTTTTTCAGTTTTATAAGAATTTTTTACCCTGCGTATGGTGTTTGGTGATGATGCAATAGCTCCTTTAATTATATTAGCAGCTGTTCTTTTTCCGGACATATGAAGTCTTGTACAAGTTGCATATGACAATTCTGGAGTAGTGCTTCCGGTAGCCAAATTTTTAGTTTTTCTTCTCTTAGTACGTTCACAACTTTCCGAAAATAGTTTTTTTGGACGGCCCCGACCAGTACTAGTAGATGGTTGTTGTACACTTTCTCTAGTCTCAATTTCTCCAAATATATTAAAATTTAATGAAAGCCAGATTTTGTTTTTTAACTGAAAAGTTTTTAAATTTCTACCTGCACTACTCCACTTTTTAATAAGGGTGGTAATAAAACCTTTTATTCTTTGTTTTAATGCTACATTAAACGCATGCTCCATCGTGACCCATTTATCACCAATGATCTCACGGATGTATAAAAAAATTGCTTCCTGACAATCGGTTGAATTCGAAATTGTTATTTTTTTATTTCTCAACATTTCAAAAATATTTTGGTTTTTAATTAAAATATTATTATCTAAAACAAGGTAAAATGTATTATATGTTAAATGTTTTATTTAAAGTAAAATATTTTTGTGGTTTGTTTTATTTATTTTAAAATTCAATTTTTCTCCAATTTATGTACAAAAACAATGTTAATATAGGCTCTAAAATGATAAACCGCAAATTACCGCAAAAAAACTAAATAATTTCTTTAAGAGGACATATAAAGCTATAATAAAATACTAATACATAACCTCTACTATGATCTACTTATTTTTCATACCTTTTAATATAAAAAAAAAAAAAATTATCTAATATTTTCATATATAATAACTTTAATTATACAAGTAAAAACTAGCTTAAAATAAAGAATACAAAATATACATACCTTCCATGACTGTATAAATTTGTTTGAAGAAAAATATTTCATACAATTTTATTCAATGGACAGTATGAACTAAATAATACACTATACACAAGAACAATTTAGCTTGTTATTTAAAGCCTTATCATAGACCGTTAGGTTATTCTGTACACTGCATGGTGTGGGCTACGGGTTTCAAAACCCATATTATCTAATCAATAGCTTACTATCTTTCAATTAAATGCTATTTTAAGTTTAATAAGTGACACAAAAAAATTTAATTTTGTCCCCCTAAATCAACTTTCTGGAACACTGTGCGTCGTGTGGCCTCCCCCGTATGCCGCCACCTCGGCATTCCACCAGTGGACTGGCGGTCCGCGAGTCGACGGCGGTCGTTTGGTCGGAAGGGCGAAGTTGCAAGCTGCGGCCACCCTCCGGTCCAACTCTTCCGCCGCTTCATTCGCGGAGACGTGTCGGTCCGGTACCGCAGGCGCCGACCATTGAGAGAGCAGTAAGCCCGTCTCGAATGCGTCGACGTCCGTGGCCGGTCCGACCCGCCAGCCCACTCGCCAACCGCGAGACGTCTCGCGGGGGACGGCCGCCGTCGACGCACTCATACACGATGTACCATTGGTCGCTGAGGTTTTCCCTATGTGGGAGAACCGACCAACCGGACACGTGCGGGTGCAGCGTCGGGTCGCCCGACTCGATGTCCGCGACCGTTAGGCCGCGGTCCAACACGCCGATCGCCGCTCTGCCGGACCGGCCCAAGAACCTGCCGGCAGAGTCCCGGACCGATCCGGCGTACGGGTCCGAGACGATGCACACGTCGGTGCCCATCTCGTACGCCACCCGCCGGACCAGGTCCTGGGCGGCCCGACAGTGGTTGAGATTCGTTTGAAGGAATCTCATCCACTAGCGGGCTACGTTCCGGGAGACCCCTCAGCCATTCTCCCCGTTTTCTTACACGGAGGGGCCTTTTTACCAGGCCCCCCCTTTGTCTTCGGGGCCTTTAGGACCGGCCCCACACCCGGACAATACTTGGCCTTTTTTTTTTTTTTTTTT